ATTTCATTTTAGTCCTAGGACCTTCATCAGCCAAAAAAACAAAATACTATACAGAGGTTTGTTCCCTTTTAATGCTTGTCCGTTCAGTCTTCATCTTATAGCATGCATTTTAGCAAGCATACTAATCCCTTATGTGGCTCCTTCATGCAATGCTTCATTCAGTTTATTAATCTTTTTGTTTTTTAAAAACACAGTTTATTCATCATAAAAAAAATACCCTGAAGGAAAATGAGGGGAGAGGAGGTGTGATTCAACAGAATTATTAATGGACTTTCTCCAACCAAGCTTTCTCTGAATGACTCGCTCTGCAATAGAGAAAAAGCCCCTTTCATTCTGAAACACTGATACACAACTGAGGCTGCTCACCACACCTGAAGATGCTTCTTTTTTTTTCTTTTTTTTTTAAGTAATGGCATTTACATGCTCAAAAGTTGGAAAACATGGACAACCGAGGCAAAGCTGCTTCGAAGATATTCTCATTTTTAAAAAGAAAATGTTATAGCTTATTAAAACTGCTAGCTGCACATAAAAATGAGGACAGATAAATGTATTTTTACACAGAAAGTTCAGACAACGACCCGTACTTGTAATAGTTGGGCCCATGCAGAAAAGGCACCTAAAAACAGTTCTAGATGTTTAACACCACTGTCATTGCTGAAGTCTGCATCATCACGGTGTGATCTGTCGTGCAGTAGGCAGCAACATGAGAAAAAGTACTCACTGGGGAATTTAGGTTCTTCCTGCAGCTGGGGGCTTTTCTTGTCCATACAGTGACATGGAGGTTTCTACCACCTGTGTCAAACAGGACAACAGCTTGCCAGCTTGCAATTCACTTACAAGGAACATCAGCTGTAAAACAAATGATCTCATTAGATCATATTAAATCTAATAAGGGCATTAGGATCACCTGTTTAAACTGCATTTATGAAATAAGCTACAACATAAAACCTACACATCCTACACAGTACTTCACCTCTATATTTTAACCTGGGGTTCAACAGACAGGCGCACCCTACATAACACTCCCAAGGTCTTAAACAATGAACAACCACCTTGTTAACTACCGGACAAGTTGCTCTGTCAAAAGGCTGTAACACCTTTGCAAACAACTGCCATGCCAGATCATTTTCTTGGGTTGGCCTCAGGACAGCCTTAACAGGAAGGCAGCCTGAGAACAACTATACAGTGCAATCAGGCTTGGAGCAGGATCTCTTTACACTGTTTGGACTGGCAGGTAAACAGCTGGCGTCCTCCCATCCAGGATTTCTCTAATATATGGGACCCTTGCAGACTAAGAGCAAGTGAGTCATCTGTACACCTTGGCCTGAGGGCCCAACTGAGCACAGGATCAGAGGAGTCCGCCCAGGATATGCAAATATCAACCCCCATCCAAATACACACGAGTATGCAAGCAAATGTTAAATAACAAGGGTTGGTGATGGGGTCACTGACAACCTTGCAGGGCAAGGTAGTTGCGCAAGTCAGACTAAAAGACCAAAAAAAAAAAAGAAAGAGAGGATGCAGGATGGAGTAGGATGCTATACCTTGATACTGAATTCCCTGCATTAGGTGTTTTAACTGATAATGTCTATGTTCTTTGTCCATGTCTGATAGCATCAAGTACACACCGTGCCATCCTCTGAATTTCAGGAAAGCACAACACGTACCCAAGGATGTTATAGCAGAATATTTTATGAACTGCTTTGAGGGTCATCACAGTAAAAACACCTGACTGGGGAATACAGTCAAACATTAGCCAAGCTCGCTAAAGTGGCACACTTACGGTTTATTAAATGTGCACTGCCCCTGTAACTTTAAACTGTATAAATAAAAAAACAACTTTAAAAAAAACTGAGAATTCTGGAAATAATTTTGATAATGAGGCTCCCCACCACTTGAGGCCGCTAAAGGCTGTGAAAGACGAGAATTATGTTCAACTCAAAACTTTAAAAAGGCATCCTACCGTGGGGGAAAGTGTTGGGGGGGGGGGGGGTTATATTTGATCAATTTAAACTTTCAGTCTAGGCTACATATGCTGATTTCCACCAGAGGGAATGAAGTCACAGTATGTTTGGAATTACAACCTCACTTGCACACGTTAGCCTACGTCTGTTCAAAATGAATGTATATACCAGGGAACCAAACTAACAGCTAAACTTCATTCACGCTTGAAAAGTCGATGAAAATATGAATGAAATGACTATGAAAGGAAATGGGACCGCTGGCTGAGGGAAGAGCTCTGAGTGAGACCCATTTGACCACTTTCAAAATGAGTCACACACACAGTCGGTACCACCACTCAAACATTTCAGAGTATCACATATATAAAAAATACCTCCTCGTCTTCTACACCTACCTAGTCAGCAGACAGTCAACCTTGAGTCATACCAACCACCTGAGAAGTCTCAACTACTGTTTACAGGCAGATTTCATAACAGCTTGATAACCATAATGTCAACGCACAGTTGCAGTTTAACAAAATAACAGACCTATTAACATTCTAGAAACTATTTTAAGTGACACTCTGTGGTGCATTCACTTTCCATTCTGTGCTCTCCTGCTTAACTTAGTCACAGAGTCCAGTCCAGTGGTGGCCAATTTTTTGAGTGACGAACATCAAAACAGCACATCTGAAGTTTCTAGACGCAATAATAAAGATTAATGCTTGAGCTCTCAAAGAAAAGCTGTCTGTATGGTAACAGACCGGCATGGTAATCATAATGTGAAGGTAATTTTCAGTTTGCGTCTCTGAAAGACTTATAATACTCAATAGAGGCAAGATAGCCAAAAATACTATGTGTGGAGCGTAGAGGATCATCTTTCTTTATATTTTCTACATATCTTGTAAGGCACCAATATAGCAAGGATAATTCCTTGTATGTGCAAACCTAATTGGCAGTAAACTTGATTCTGATTCAATGTGGTTCCTTTTAGGCACTCAAATCAAACTGACCATGCCGTGAATTTAGTTGTTTTCCTGTTCTGCATGTTAGTCAAGCAGCTGGATATGAATAGCAGTGTTGCCTGTCTGTTGTGCAAAATTGAAATGACCTGAGTCATGATCATACTGTCATGATCATACTGGTCATCCCGGCTGCATCAAGCACTGAATGTTTGTGAAAATTTGAGATAAAAAAATCACAAATGCTTAACTTCCAAATCTGGCAAGCAACAGCAAAACTGTAAATTCTAGTATATGGATCGGTACAAATATGCCTAAGAACATCCATAGTTACTCAAGAAGACTCTACAATGTGGTGAATCATGACCCCTCTAAACAAGATGCTTCTGCACCTCCACTGATACGTTCGCACATAAAATGATTGCTGTCATAGCAGAGGGTTTTTGATCCAAGCATTACCACAAAATGCATACGATAAATGAACCAGAAAGCTCTCTGAAACCGCCGGGCATGCCTGCTGCAAACTGTCACATCACTGCTTTATGAGGACTTTTAGGACTTTTTATTTGCCTATAGCCACTGTGGAAGTAAACGCTTGCATTTCTTGTAAGAAGTGCAGCTTTTTCCATTTAAGTAAAGACTCACATTTCACTCTAAGCCTTTTTTTCCTGTTAACATGTTGCACCACAACAAAGCAGCAGTACTGATGGCATGCAAGTCCATGTTCACCCGCTTTTCTTTTGACCACTTGTTGTGAGTAAAATGGTATTTTCCAGTGTTGGCACCACATCACAACAGAACTATGTTTGTGCAACATCTCCGCCTTGCAGAAATGCAGCGCCTGTAAAGACACAATATGATTTGATCTGTCAAAGCTTTAGACAAAGCTGTGAAAGTTGAGAGACATGATCAGATTTTCCTACGTAGGTGGTGTAAAAGACACACACACACACACACACACACACACACACACACACACACACACAGACAGTGTAAGATGATCGGCTGCTGTGCTGAGTCGGTGTGTGCTTGAGGTGACATTTTCTCCAAGAGTGCAGCTTCCTGCCATAACCCACACACTGGCTCGCCTTAAGAGGAAAGGACAAAACTGTTGCTGGTCAAACCCAGTTGTTAATAACACTCATTTCGATCACATCTTCCCTTACAAAACAGACCACAACAACCCTAATACGCCCAATTATTTCCAAACATCATAATGCTCACAGGATTAAGCTGACACCGGGAAACCTGTTAGACTTGCAATGTTTGACATGACTATTACCTCTATCTGCCCTTTATTATCTATCATTTCCTTCAGGCTCACCAGTCTGTTTGACCCCCCGAGGGTCCATTTACTCCATTTTCTGTACCTGTAAACTGTTCACACACATCTAGCCCAAACCCTACCTCTTCACTCAAAGACAGTTCTCACCTTTAGGACAATAATGAGATACTGCAAAAAAAAAAAAAAGATTAAACCGTAAGGAAAGTTTGATGTCAGCCCTTATCAACTTCCCCTGTCTCATGCCTACAACATGGACCAGGGGCCTGATGACAACAGTAAGAATATTCCCCATTTTTAGGGTCAACAAGACCGCATATACAACAGGTCTCCTCACAGTTCTTCGTACATGATGTTATCTACCAACCCTTGAAGCAGTCCTTATCCAATCTTAAGTCATTCATTTCTTTAAGCGCAAGATTCTTCAAATCAATACCAATGACTCACACTAGAAATTGGAACAGCATTAAGAAACTTTGGGCTAACCTGAAAAAAAAAAAAAAAAAAAAAATGCACACACTGCACCAGATTCATAATGCAGGGGTTTTCTTTCTAAAACTTTTCACTTCACAAAATGGACATGGCCTCTATTCAACGTGTGAATATTATTACATTAATACCAATAGTTCGTTCTTAAGCATAGACTTAACTACAAACATGCATACTCAGATTTCAAATAGGGAAAAGAGCACTGTTTTAACAGGGTAACAGAGAATTAGTTCAATACAACAACCCTAAAAAGATGTATTTTAACACTCAGACTCACAAAAAGCACGCCCACACACAACCAGAGAAAAATGTCCAGACACAGGTGCATTCAGGGTCCATATACTCAGTCATCTTTATTTCAAAATTGACAAATTAACCTCTAGCAGAGTGTGATGGCACACCCCGCATAAATCAAATTCATTTGTACATTGTAATATTAAAAGCTTGTAAGAAAGTACTCATTCTCTGCACTCTTTATTCACAGTGCCTGCATTCATAGTAAACTCTTATCAAATATTAAAGATTAAAAGTGTTCATTTGTCTCGTGTGTGTGTGTGTGTTCGTTCTCTCTCCCTCATGGGAAAATCTCCAGGTGTCTTCTAAACCAAAATGTCTACCCCATGATCTCAAACACAAGCAGCAGTAAACCAGTACAATGGTTAACTGATCCATATTCCAATAGCTGCAGCACACCTGCAAAAAAATCAACCTCTTTTTTCCTCTTTTGAGGGTTCATGCAGCTCGAAACTAGAAAAGAGGCCATGCAAAAAGAGATACACTTTGAATTTTCCCTGGCTAAGATTAAACTACTTTACTTTCATACAAACATGTCAATTAAAAAGCCAATGGCCATCTTAGCATACAAAAAATAAGAATCAAATTTAAAATGTAGAAAAAATGTTAACTACAGTAAATGATGAAAAAAAGTTAAAAATACTGTACGTTTACATAGCTGCGAGTATTTTCAAGCTGCCAGTGTGACTGACTTTGATCCTGTTTGACCTAAACATCATTGTTCTGCATGTAGTAGCAACGTAAGAATCGTCTGCCTGTATAAAATAAAGCAATACATGAATGCTATAGTAATACTGTTTTTAGCTGTTTTTAAGCAGCGTTCAGCAGTGAGTGTGTTATTCGGTCATGCTGTTGGTCCAAAACGTTTCTGTACTCCACATGACTGATTGTGGGACACAGTTAAAAAAGGTTCATAAAGACTGAGGACCCTGAGTGCTGTATCTCTTTGACTTTAGTTCACTTGGTGGAGCAAGGGCAACAAAGATCTCCCCAATCTGGTTGCAACCGAATTAAGTGCTTTTTATTTCCTCTTGTCTACCTGGTGAAGGCTTTTTGCTGATTAGCACGGACAATGTCGTCGGGGGACGGAGTGTTGAAGCGGAATGGTATAATTGGTGAGAGTGGAGTTTGCTGCTCTTTGATGTTGTCTTGCGATTTACAGAGAAAGGCCTGGTAACCACTACCTGCCCTTAACCCTCTTATTTTCCCCTTCCTCTTCGGTTGTCTGTGGCTCTGAATCGACAAAGTAATGGCAAATACTGATGGTTGTGCAAAAACAGAAGAGCCCAGCCCCAAGACAACTGGAGCTTGGGAGGACGGTGAAGGGAGGTCGTGGTCGAAGTGACGAGGGCCCGCTCCATCTGACTGGGCGATGAGTGCGCTCAAATCAATAGTCTGCCTCAGCTTAGGTGACCTGGAGTTTTGGTGGTATTGTTTGTGGTCGAGTTTGTGCTTGGTAGCACCCTCTATAGTACTTTCTGCCAACACACCAGCCCTCTCTGGTTTTGCTGGTGAAGGGAGCGAGGCTACAGAGAAATGTGACCCACTTGAGGTGGTTGAGGTTTTGCTTTTGTGTTCAGACGCCAAATGTGACAAAGCGGGCAGCTCAGAGATGCCAGGTGGTTGTTTCAGAGCATCTGCTGGAGATTCAGTGCTGACGGGTTCAAAGGAAGTTAAGGAACTGTTGGTTTGATGCTGCAGGGCAAGCTGAGACAATGAGACAGCCCCAGTCCCGGAGCATGCAGGAATAATCTTAGCTCGTTTAGAAAAGAGGAGTGTGTTTTCTGGTCGTTCGTGTGTTTTCCTGTTTTGATGCTGTGAAGCAAGCTCAGACAACGAGAGCATTTGTGCTGGTGCAGCTATCCCCTGGCACTTCACAGAGGTTTTGCTGCTTTGGGGAGTAGGGAAGCAGTTACTGATAGTTGTTGGGCTGCGGTTTGAATGCTCCTGGATTAAATCAGCCAATGACAAACTTCCCTTCGGATCAGCCATTGTGGCTTTGCCTCCAGTCCCAACTCCCACTGAGTGTTGATTGCCTTGGAGGACAGAACTTAGACTCCCGAACCCAGGAGGAGCAGCCAGAGAAGAGCTTGCAGTTGTTGTCTTGGGGATGTTTAGCGAAAGACTACTGAGTGAAACTGAAAGCAGGGAGGGAGCGGAGCTGTGAGATGCTGAAGACATGTTTAAAGATGCCAAAGTTCCCAAAGAAAGACTATTCTGATTGGATATAATGGACGGAGGTGAATTAGGTCCAATGGTGAGAGCACTTAATGAGGGAACATCCAAACCTCGCACTGTGTCATCTACTCCTGACACCTTCTGCTCATGCTCAGACATGAGCTGTGCCAGACCGGTCGCACTAATGCCAGGACCAACGTTTTGACGAATACAATTTTGATTTTCAGAGCTGCTAACCACTGGCTCAGCCTTATGTTGCGATAAGAGGTCACGCAAGTTTGGTGCATTCGCTTGCACATGTGATGGTGTATGCTTGCACTCATCAGTGTGGGGTTTATGTGCCTTGGATGTAATGTCTGTGTGAGAAGCAGACAAGCAGGCTCCTTACCTTACGAAAGCCAAGTGCAGTTGTCAAAGAGGAGGGACAGGAGGACCACAGAACAGAAGTCAGTTGAGTCATACCATAAACAAGAGGGAAAAGAACAGACAGAAGGCAATTTCTTAAACATCTGCATAATTTTGAAATAAACAATGAAATGCCCCTGGCTGTGAAGCTTCCATGTACACAACACCGGTGAACTTTTCACTTTCTTTTTTATATTCTGCTCAGCGAGTCTCGTTCATCAAGCTAAACCAGTAGCACAAAGAGACTAGCAACAGCAGAGGGAGCCAGCAGGGAAAAACAGCGTCTATAGCCACACCTCTCACATCTAACTGGATAAATTTAGGGTTTCTTAAGACCAAACCATAGTATTTTTCGGTCGAGTTTGAATGAAACGTTTTACCACGAGTTACAGTTTTTTTCTGAGTTGCTGAAATTTATTCTTTCCTTTTATTTATTTATTTTTGTACATTTATTGCTGTACATTTTGAATTGCTTTTGGGTATAACAAAGTAGGTGGGGGGGGGTTAATAAGTATTTTTTCTTCTTCCCACGCCTTTTCGAATATGTAATGGCCATTGACAAGAGTTTAAAAAGTCTTCGGCTGTAACTATTATTAATTTATTTATTATTGTTATTGTTATTCTAATCACTTTGATTTGTTTATTTCATTGCATTTTCTTGTTTCTTTTAACATATATTCAAAATAAACATAAAAAATTTGCTTTTCTTAGTTCAGTCAAAGAGAGAAACTTGAAATCAGAAGGTGTACGGTTGTATCTGTTTAATAAGGAAACTAGGTGTAAGAATATTTCCCTTGACATTCTGAGAGTATATTTTGTTTGTTTTTAATCAGACTAGAGCCGCACACCCACACCTGTGGAAATTTTTAATATATCACCCAACCCTATTATGAACTAGGAACAGTGAAATAGATCAATAATTTTGAAAACAAAATAAAAACTGTTTCAGATCCTGCGCTTTGTTTTGCGAATAACTAGAGATTAATTAAATTATCAAATGCCACTATCAGCCATTCTCTTAATATGTAACTACAGTGGACCAGTCAAGGATGACAATTCCTGACCAACAAAATTATAATAAATTTGATCCAGTCCAGGCGTACCTTTCTCAGCAATGACCTCTTGTTTGGTTCTTTGTGGAAGCGGCGCTTTTTCCAAGCTAACTCTTGCTACCGAAGCCGTCTCTTCACTTTTACTTCCGGTAAGTGGGACTGTCTTAGTGTCTTCAGACAAAACTGCATCCAGTGCCCTCTGTGGGTCGAATCCACATTTTATGGCTGCCTGGGTCAGCACTGAGTCTGGCACTGCATCTCCCAGCACAGTCCGCATATGGTCCAGACAGGAATACAGCTTGGCTACAGAGCACAACACACACGTTAGACACACACTGTATTTGTGATTCAGAATACAAGAACAACAATAAATCAAGAAAATGAAAATAAAATCACTAATTTAACACGGTCTTTGTCTCCAATTAGCACATTTTTCAAAGACAAAGATTAAAGGTAAGTCAGAAGCGCCGTCATTTCTCACTGGCTTCCCGTTGCATGGATTTCATTTTGTTACCTTGATCAAGAGGATCAAGGTTGTCGCTGATGGTAGGGGACAAGGGTACAACCTCATCTTCATATTCTTCCTCTAAAGGCTCCTCCTTTGGCACTTGCCTCTCTTGACGTGAGTAGATGAACTGATTCGCTGTATAAACCAAAAAGATCTTGTGGTATATGGTGTATAATTTATGTGGTCTTTTAATCAGATCAATCCTTCATTGAAAATTAAAATAAACCTTTTAAAAATTATTCATGTTTTTGGAAGTAGCGATTGTTTTCTTTAACTGGAAAAAAAACAAGTTAAAGAAAATTCTTGTATATTAAAATTGTCTATTAATCAGCAAACATTCACACTTTCTGATATACCATTAACATTTACTGATACCAACCTGTTGCTGGTGATATACAGCAGTAGTCATCGTCCACAGACTGTCCATATATGTCATCATCGTCAAAGTCTAGAAAAAAATGTAACTGAGCTTCAAAAGGTTTGCCTTTCTCTGCTTTACACACACATTCAGGTGTAGAAATGCAGATGTAGTAAAGAGAAAGAGTCTTTTGTTAGAGCTGTCACTTTGCCTTGTCAGCAACTTTACAGAATGCATTACAAACTGTAACTTTATATTGGAAGCCAGGTAACTTTCTGTAACGTTACGTTAATTAAGTTAACTTTCTTACCATTAGATTTCACAAAATGGGAGGTTTAACAAGTGAATACGGTAATGGGATGTTAATAAACCATATCCAACAATGAATTCGAGTTTTGTATCATTTCTTGCAAATAAAACGGCAAAGATAACAAGCTAGCTAACTTTACGTAGCTGTCATCTACTTTCGTTAACATAAACATTAACGTTACCTACATTAGTAGTTACAGACACATCACATAGATTTTTAAAATTATAACGTTAGCCGAAAGGTTTGGGTATGTACGTAGATACTTGTAGAATAACGCATTTCATCTTGTGCCAGGTACCAAGTGACACGACAACAACGTTATCTTGCCAACTAGCTAGCGTTAGCCGCTAGAGCTAACGTTACAATCAACAATGAACTTTAGCTTAGCCGCTAACGAGTTTAGCGGGCCTGGCCGTGACGCTTAAACCGTTACCCGCGCGTAGTTAATGTTATCTACCTTCATCGTAGTTGTAACCTCGAACATTTCTATGTCGAGACATGTTGCTTATGTGTCTTCTCTCGGCCCCAGTGTAAATGTTTTTCGGCTCACAGGCTCTTGTGACATGTATAACTGCCCTACTGCCCGGTTGCCATTGCTGCTTAGCTGCTGCTGCTGCTGCTGCGTGAGATTACAGCAGCAGGCAGGTCAGATTTGTTTCTGCAACTTCGGGAATAGTTTAACTAAAAAACAAGAGTGATTTTGCCGTGTTTGTGTCTCTTAATTGACGTTCAACAATCTAGTCACTTAAATAAATTTTAAAAACTTATTTTCACATACAATTTTTTTATTTGACTGACGTAACTTCCTGCTGCAGTCTCTTTATTGTGGCCTGAGATCAGATTTCCCCAACAAGCTTCAGAATATGCGCCCTGTCTGACGGAGAGAAACTGACTTTCAGTCAGTTGCTGTCTGCAGAGCTGATTATGAGCAGTTGAACGGATACAAGTTTATCGAAATAGGAGGGAAGTAAACTTCAAACAATTCCGTATAATTTTATAATAAATAATAAGGGGTCTTAGCAGGAAGAGATGTAAGATAAGTATAGAGAATGGAGATCTAATGATTATGTTCACTTGGATCTAAAAAAAACCCACTACAGTTGTTTTTTTGGCTGGTTAACAGAAAAAGGAGTAAATTTGTAGCAAGTTTTTTCCTCCTAGGAGCAGGGAATGGTGTTTTAGAGAGAGAAGATGCGCAGGGACCAAAGGATATAGGCTACTAAATGACAGTACCCAACCACAGCCTGTTCACCCAGCTGCCTGCTGGGAGGAGATATAGACCTTATAAGTTTCTCCTGCTGCACCACTAGACTTCTAGACACTTTACAACCTGTTGCAATGTGACAAATAAACCTATAATTATACCATCTACCTTCTTCACAGCATATTTGAACATCTTAAGACGACAATAGATGTTAACTTATGGGTGCTACAGCTTCATCACTTTCTGAAGGGTAACCATATAGGCTGGCAATAATTGCAAGAAAGAAAATAATTCCCTATTCAATCTGCCTTGTATGAAATGATGTATAAATATAAATTATGTTTTCACATTTTAACAATCTAATTTAACGTTTGGCCTTACATGAACAAACTGTTAAATAGGAATTTTTCTGTTTAAAACAACAGATTTGTGTTTACAAAGAAATTCTTTGAAAATGACACTGGCTGAAAACACACATACAGTAAGTCTGTTGTTCACCTGCTGCAGCAGAGAACAAGTTCTATTAACCTTTTGTGTTCCAAAAAGCCTACACACACACAGAAAACATTGGTTATATTTCATTGTTTTGATAAAATTATTGCTAGGGACAATTCAGTAGTCGCTGGATACTGGTAAGGTACATATCCTTATCATCCCTGAACTAAAAGAACAGTGAAAGGGTTAAAGCTGTCATTAGTCCTTTTCTAGGAAAATCCAGTGACTCTTATGATGATGACGGAGATAATGACTATGGTGATGATATAGGTAGTGAATGCTCCTGCATATACCCAAACACTGTTGTGTTTTATGAGTGAGCTTGAAATTCATATCATGATATCTTATTAATGCGAAAGAGGAAGCACAATATCACAGATGAAAATGGCAAAGTGGTTAAGAGCTTTTTCCTCTCTGCACAACCTTGAGAAAAATATTTCAGTGTAACAGGTCAAGAGCAGTGCACTTAAAGAACATGAGAGCATCTGCCTGCACAAAGTATACGTACTTTCAATCCCACCTATGATCTTGGGGTGTGAATGTCTAAACCATTTGTTGTCAAAGGTTATGCCCCATGGTTAGAGACAAACCCATTTGAGCCCACACTCACACAAGCACACGCACCCAATGAATGACATCATTTTTTCCTACTACCTTTGTACCACAAGAAACTTATAGCCTGTCTACCACAAAAGGGAAAAAATAAGATATTTTTTTACCCCTGTGAGTGCATGTGTGTGTGCACATGTTTATCTGTGACTTGGTCTTTGCATATCTATGTACTTTATAGTCACACACAAATATATGTGCAGGTGTATGCATGTGTGGTTTTTGATTCATTATGTTGTCCTGAGCTCATCTACGGTAGCCTGTGTGCCAATGAAAGAGAAGAAGAAGAAAATGTCAGACAATAATCTGATACCGGTGATGCAGGTGAAGAATACACTTGCACATCTGTACGGTGAAATGAAATATGAGGTTTGGCGTGTCTCCCCAATCTAAAAATAGAGCAGAATAAAGAAAGACGTCTGCTTAGGTAATTGTAAAGACCTTCTCACAATGAATGGTTCATATTGCAACTGGCAGTTTGATGAAGAGCAGCTTTAATTGGCAGAGGTTAGTAAGAACCGAAGGGGCATCATTCATATCGAGAGGGGATAATGAAGGAGTTTTTTATTTATTGTGCACAACGTTTTACCTTAGGTGAAGAGTGAGCGTATGTGTCCGCGCGTGCATGTGTCTCTAAGTGGGTGGAGGTTTCCCCTCTAAAATTCCACTTCCTGCATTTTGAAGTCTTAGTTGCACATCTTGTCAAAATAAACAACTGCACATGCACACATGGAACACACGCATACATACAAATAAACAAACACAAACACGCTCACTTTACAGGGTCACACAGGTGACAGTGAGAGAACTCTTCCTTTGCATCACTAAAATGTTTCTAGGACATTCAAAAAACCAACAGCAGAAAACAGCACCTGATATGTAATGGAAATGGAACATACTGCCTGAGTGAAATGTCGTGTATGAAACAGTAACAACATTAAAATTCAAATAGTGTATCCAGCTTTTCTCTTGTATTGGCCTTCTTTGACATAACCATTTACGGTTCAAAAAACACAGACATGGTGAACAAGACACAGCTAAAACTTTACTCTGAGTATTTAGTACAGTGTGATGCCAAATAAATGCTTGTTTGTTGTTTGTTGTTTTTGTTTGTGTGTGTTTGTTATTGTTTTTTAAATAGTCCTGTTTTCTTTACATATGCAAATTGGGAAGTGAATTAAATAGGCATTTGTGGTGCAACAAGGCTGAGGTGTGATTTTTCACACCTCTGCACAGGATCTGAACATTTGTTTCCTTTGAACGTCTTCTAAGCACTATCTGGTCAAATCTGATGTGGCCACAGAGTTCACGGAAATTCTGATCAATGAATCAGTGGCGGGGGGAGAGGGATTTATGAGAGAATTAATGTTGGGCTGATTAGAGGGATTTACACAGATGGATGGACAGATTGCTAGAAGAATGAGCGGATCAGTGGATGGGTGCTTTGTTTAAATGATGTAGACATTATATTATTTAATGGCTAATAAACTGCATAGTTTGCATCCATCATATTTCATCTGTAATTGAATTACAAGCATTTATTTAGGAGATGCACTAAATGGTTGTCAGCAAATGGATGGCAATGGTTTAGAATCAAGTGAAAGCAAAGGATTGCAAATCTGTCAACAACAGCATGTAAATCTGAAAAAATTAATCCTGGTGTAATTGTAGAAGACAAAGTCTATGTACAAGTGGGTGAGGGGTGAAGTCGGTCACAAAAGTTGGCAGTGGGGATGAGGTAATGCTTTACATAATTTGCCAAGGGCACCAGGTATCATAGGAAGAGTTTTTCACAGGAACTCACCCCCCAGGGAAAATGCAAAACCTACACCCTTGGAAGTCTTTACCAGGTGGTGTGAGGTGCTTAAATTGGCAAACTGTGAAATTAAAAGGTAATACTTTTTTTTATTTTGATTCACTATTTACACACAGTATGTATTCATTAACATACTTACAAAAAGTAATGTTCCTGAATAATGATTGGTGGATTTCAATTACAATCACTATAATAATGTAGAAATCCTATGCATGCTAATATACATTTATTACCAATTTTAAGCAATTAGTCAACATGTAGGTTTATTTAACCACATAATCATACAGGATCTCTTTCACTACCTATTTGACTTGGGATCAGCCCTTCCCCAGTGCAGGCCTTAGACACACAGACAATTACATGTTTGGCCTTCCCAACACTTGATTTGAAAGCCTGGTGGGATGATATCTCAAGCCCAGGGGCCATCATTAAAAATCATTCAAATGAACCAACCTGTGCACACAATGCTTTGCAAAGGGGCCAGCCATCACAATACCTGCCCTTAACCTGTCCAATCGCGCCCATGCAAATGTCCTCAGCTGAAGAGTCAATGGGAGTCAGGCTTCCTTCTCAAAGTACTATAGGAGAATTTGCATACCCCGGCTCCCTTCCTTCAATTTGGTTTCAGATAACAAAATATAATTTTTAATATTACCCTCGAGGGAAAAAACACAATGGGGGTGTGTGCAGAAAAAAGCTAAAGACACACACTTACAGATATACTTAACATACACACAAATCAGGCAAACATGGACAGAATTACATTTAAATACTTGTTTATACTCTTTATGAAGAATGACTTGGGTTATTTCTTCTGGTTCTTTCACTGTGTTAATAAAGTTGTTAACACTTGTTATTTAATTATTTTGACCTGTATCTTTTTTACTGACCTACTTTTCTTTCTATGTGGGGCATCTTGCATTGGAATCTAGCACAATATAATTCAAATTTTATTTGAATAGATTAGAAGTAACACTTCCTTGAGGCAAAAGTGACTGGAACAATGCTTGTGTACAGGTGTGTATAGGATTTGATGCCTACAGGTGACTGCAACCAGGCAACCATGTGTTAGCCTAGTTTATTTGACAGGCCAGCAGTTAGATGTAGCCTAGTGGCACTAAATGTTAACAACAACATATTTTAATGACACAAATGTCTAGCTTCTGAACCAAAAAATCCATTTTCATCACTGGATTGTATAAATAATAATGCACATAACAATTTTTAAAAATATGTTTCATGCTGTCCTTCATTTAACCCACTTCCAATCCTGTAAATCTTGACATTTCTCTCTGTCTTCACTTCAGTGAACCCACTGCTGAAGCTGTTGAATAAAATAGTGAAATTTGCAGTTCATGACCGTGTGTGTATAGCCTTTTATCAGGCCACTATTATGATGACTGGCCTGGGACAATAGGCTGGTCTGGGGTGATAGTAATTATAAGTGACCAGGACAATACGGTCGCGTATGGAGGAACTCATACAATGAGAGGACACATTTATACAAATAAAGCATTAACCCCCCTCCCTGCAA